CTTATTTGACAATTCAATTTTCCATGATATAGGCCCTGTAAACCTCTCGAAAGGGCCAGTATAAGAGCTCACTAAAAGTTCACTACACTGAAAAAAGCAATGCATTGTATTTACATGATTCAAATGTATCCTGTGTGTCAGATCCAGTGCAGTACAGTTTCAAGGCATATGTCCACTCCAATATCCCTTCAGCCACTTAAAGTACCAGTTTATTAATTGTAAGGCTTATTTTACCCAGTATAGTCACTATGAATGAGGCTTCTTTGTAATCTGTGCAGTGCAGTTTAGTTAAGAACTAAAATTTTGGGCCCCCAAACTGGCCCTAAAGAGGTTGATCTGTATATGGGCCCACTGTTCAATTTCATTCTATTCAATTCAATACAATATACTGCATCAATGCAATTTCATCATCCAGTTTGCTTACTTTGTTTTCTGATTGGAATATCAGGTCAGATTCAATCCCTATTAAACTATTTCAAGGCATATTTTCACCTTAGTGCCACTTGAAACCACTTGGCCAGGGCCTGGTCCAAATTTATATTACATATTTCCATGACTTAAGGAACAATTAGCTACTTTGCATTGTAGTCCATGTATGTAATGAATACAATGGTTTAGGATGTAACTGGATGTCTGGGGGGTTTTAAGAGTATAAACCATTTAAAGTGTAAGCGTCAGTGTGGCCACTGTTCAGTTCCTCACTATGTAACTGTACAACTTACATATTGGCCTCATATGTATGCATTATACTGTATTGAGCTGACATGCTTAAAATATAAAGCTGAACCAAACCTTGTATCTCCAAAATGGTAACTTTACAGGAGAAGGAAAAAACCGACTCTACTATTAATGTAAGTCAAAGGAACCAGACGTCTTTCCAAGTCATTTTGGACCTTTTCTGTTTGTCCATTCATCATGAAATTAACATATAATATAAAGGGCAACAGTAATTTTCAAATTATGTCAAAAACTGAAAGATGACATTGTTCCAACATATCGTTTACGATATAAATAAACTTACAGTGCATAAACACAACTGCTGTCATTTTTCTCAGTTTTGGTACTGAATGTGTTGATGTAATGTATCTCCCTCCATTAGAAGCGATCTATGCATTTAATGAAGCGAATTCAATGAACTGTGTTTAAAGTTTAGTGAATTGACGGTGCTTACAGGATAAAAACCCCTTAACTGAATAATACGCTCAGAGTTTAAGGAGATAAGTCTCACTGCAGTCTCCCACACCAACATGTCCAACAACTGTTCAGGCATGCTGCAGTGGAACTCAGTGATAGGCACCAGCCCTAAGGGGGTCTTTTATTATTAATTTAATGTATGGCAAAGAGAATTTTCTGTGTTGAAGTTACTTATTCATTCTTTCCTGCCAGTGTGAGGCCAAAAAAAAGAGAAAACAATCCAGGAGGACTGTGTTGCTGCCCACAGCCACTGCGCGCTGCAGCTTCACTCTGCTCAGAAGCTCCATTTGCAAATTGGCTCAGACATTTGCATGAACATATTAACATTTCTCACTAATATCTCCTTTCCTCCTCGTTTGAGCGTCACATGCATTTATGATCGCACGTTTAAATCTCGCTCCTGCCTTCATTACGGTCAGTACGGGGTAAAGAGAGAGAAGAGAAAAAAAATAGAAAGAACGACAGAAAGAAAGAGAAGAGAAAAAGAGAGAAAGAGACAGAAGGAGAGAGAATGGGAAAGAGAAAAGGAAAAAGAGAGAGTAAGATGGAGAGAGAGAGTGAAGGAGAATGTAACAATGCAAGACAATGGAGAGAAGAGGAAAAAAGAAAGAGAAGGAAAGACAAAAAGAAAGAAGATGAAAGAGAGAGAGGGAAAGAAAGAGAGGAGATAAAAGAGAAAGATAAAGAAAGAGGAGAGAGGAAAAAGACAAAAGGACAGAAGGAGAGAGAAAATGAACATGAGAGAGAGAGAGAGAGAGAGAGAGAATGTAAGATGATGGAGAGAAGAGGAAAAAATAGATAGATAGCGAGAGAGAGAGAGAGAGAGAGAGAGAGAGAGAGAGAGAGAGAGGAGAGGAAAGAGATAAAGAAGGGGAGAGAGAAAAGGAACGAGAGAGTAAGACAGAGAGAGAGAGAGAGAGAGAGAGAGAGAGAGAGAGAGAGAGAGAGAGAGAGAGCGACAGAGAGAGAAAAGGAGCGAGAGAGAAAGAGAGCGAGAGAGAAAGAGAAGAGAAAAAAGAAGGGAAGAGACAGAAGGAGAGAGATAAGAGCAAGAACGAAAGTAAGTGACAGAGAGAGAGAGAGAGAGAGAGAGGGAGAGAGAGAGAGAGAGAGAGAGAACTCAGCGCAACATTTTAGAGACGCGTTTTGCGTGTCCTCAGCCTTTGTCTCACGCTGATATGGAGCGCGCGCGTTAATAATACAGCTAATAAGTAAATAAATAAACAAAATGAATAAAAGATTTTCCAAGAGGCGCGCGGCGGAAAAACAACAACGCTACACAAAAAAATGGGCCACGAGATGGAACGAAATTCACCATCTCACAGCTGCGGGCACTAAAGACCGAGCTCAGCGCAACAGCGCCGCCCTGCTGGCACAGAACCGCGCGGGGTCGCCGGCGTCCTCAGCCTCAGAGGCAGCAGCGCGCGACCTCAACCGGGCTCTGCGCTATCTGACACGCGCGCACACAGCACGCAATGCAAAGCTCTGCTCTCCCAAAATACAAACAACACAAAAGAAGCAGCTCGCGGGCTGCAGCAGGTCTGAAGGCTTCGAGACAGCCCCCATAAAGACCCCCAAACAGCCCCACAAACACCAACACCCGGAGCGAGTACAAGCCGAAGCATGAATGAGTAAAAGAGTGCCGCGCGGGTATCCCTTAGGACATCTCGCGTTTTCGCGGAGAGCTTCGCACAAGCACACGCTGGCGCGCGCGCACGCACGCACCTCGGCTCGCGCTCGCGCCCCGCCACCGTTTATATTTCTTTAATGCTGTTGCATTATTCTGTTTGAAAGCGATGCAGCGGTGGCCTGTGAAATGATTAAGAGGTGTTTCTCTGCTTCTCTCTCCAGAGCGCTAAAAGCGCGTCTCCTCGAGCTTTTATCGCGCGCTCGCCTGCAGATACCTGCAGAGGTGTTGTGCCTTGACTCGGTCCCCACTTCCTCCCTCATTTTTCATTAAAGACTGGGGTCACTTGGGGGCAAACAAAAGTTAAACGAGGAAAAGTTTCATAAAGTTCACTCAGTCCTGAATAAAACACTTTTACACTGAACTTACCATGCTGAAAAACGGGAACTGGCCTAATTGTCTCAGATACAAAGGTAATAAACTGTCACTGGGGCAGTGCCCCACTTGTCACTGGGGAGGGACCCTCAGGGGTACATCTCAGTACCTTTCAAGGAACATAACTGTCCCATAATCCATTGAAATTATATTTTATAAGCTGTATTGACTCCACACACCCCGTCTCGTCTCCAGGCTTTTTATTTTACTGTTCTGTTTTAAAACATTCGGTTATGAAAAGGTACAAATACGAACTTTTCACCTGGAAAAAAACTTATTTAAGGTACACAATTGGACCTTAAAACCACTGTTGTACCTTTGAGGGAACATTTACAGTGTTCGTACCTTGATGAACAAAAAATGTTCCTGCACAGAACCTTTATTTCCAACAGTGTAGAGACCACTGGTCCTGTAGAACACCCTTATATCCCATTAAGAAACTATCAAATGCAGTTAGAATCAGCCAGTGGTTCACCTGTTAACCTATTATGACCCTTTGCTTTGTGATATCAACCCATTAAAAAGCCAAAACATGTGACAAAGCCTATGGGAACCAGAAGAAACACTTAATGGGTTTTTTATATGGGTTTTTCAGCAGAGTTTGCACATCTCAAGTCCAGTTCATCTCTGCTGGTTGTCGATTGTAGTAAAGGGAGTTGATTTAAACAAGATTTCGTTACATTAAACGCAATTTATGCGATTTGCATGAAAAACCCGTACATCCATTTTTTTGTCAGTTTTTCAGTTTTTGACATGATCTGAAAATCACTGTTGTCCTTTACATTGTGTGTAAATTTCGTAAAGAATGGACCAACAGAAACGGCCCAAAACGACTTGGAAGAAACGTCTGGTTCCATAGACTTACATTAAAAGTAAAATATGTTTTTTCCTTCTCTGTAAAGTTCAATTTTAGAGATACGAGGTTTTGTTCCGACAGCAGCGATAAAATAACTCTTGTTCGTACTTAAAAGTTCTGCATCTCTCTCTGTCTCTCTCTCTCTCTCTCTCTCTCTCTCTCTCTCTCTCCCAAAGTTTCACCCATCAATCTCATCCACTGTCAGTGCTGCACAAACCTGCCTCCGTTCACGGGGAACCTGCTGGATCTGCTCTGGAGCCAAATGTGAACACCCTGAGCCAAACGCACGAGGCACCCAAATACAGCGTCCCAACGGACGAGAACCAAACAGCTGCAAGCCAACACACACAAGAACCATGCGCTATTGTGATGTCCAGCGTTTTTGGCCATTCAGTGCCGTCAAGTCCATTTTCCAGCCATGCACTACTGCAATCTCCACGCTGCAATCTCACATTTTAATCCAAGCTTCATTGTAAAAGCCCAACTTTGGCATCCAACCTCAACCACTTAGCAGGAAATTCTGAAATATATCTGAGAGATGGCACCATCCCCTAACAAAAACCGCTGGCTAAAGCGATCGTTTTCCAGTCCTGCTCCTGAAGCCCCCCGTGTGCCCCACAGTCTACTGCTTTTCCTGCTCCAGCGCCCCTATCTCATCCTCACTAAGGCTTTACTAACGACTCGGTGGGCTGTTTGACGCGTGTTGGGGAAGGAAAAGCAGTAAAACACCCAGCAGCAGCGCTGCGCTGCTAACCTGGCTCTCACGGTGGAGCTGCTTTGACGCTGCAGTGCGTTTTTTCGCTCTGAAAGCCCCAGTTTTGACTGCAGAGCTGCTGCTGTCACTGCTGCCCCGTAAAACACCCCAAAAGACCCCAAAGCTCTCCTTACCTGCTCCCCAAAGGCACAGCGCGATGGCAAACGCCAGCATCTTTCCCAAAGCGTCCCTCCTGCTCGAAAAAAGTCCTCAAAGCTGAAAGCTCTCTGCGCTGGACCAGTCAACTCTCAGAACCTCTCCAGCGGAGAGAAATCAGCGCGCGGCTGAGAGGAAAGTGAAGCGCCAGCTTTCAGTCTCTCCGCGGATCCGGCGCGCGTTCACAGCATCGGGAACGTGGCTTTCTCTCCTCACTCCCAACTTTTCTCCCTCTCCCCTTTTTTTTTCTCCCGGGATAATTTCTCTCCAGTCACTGTCCGAGTTTGGCTCAGTTCATTGCCGATCACTCCGCTCGCGTGTATGTGCGTGTGCGTTCAGCAGTGTGGCGTGTGTATGTGCGCGCGCGCGCGTGTGTTGGCTTCGTTGTGCTGATGCTGAATGAAGCTCTACAGCCGTTTCTGTGAGAGAGCCTCTCTCGTATCCTCCTCCTTCTCCTCCTCCTCCGCCTTCTCCTGCTGCTTCTTTCTCTATCGCGCCTTTATTTTTTTTCCCACCCGCATTCCGCCAGACCCCGCAGTCGTGCGCTAGGATTGGTCCCTGGCGTCCCGACTCTGGCGCTAGGATTGGAAAGCAGTTCGTATTGATAAGCTGTCCACCAATCGGCAAACGGTAGAGCAGGAGGCTGGATAGCGATAGCCAATCCTAGCGTAGGGGGCGGGGCCTGACGGAATGCAGGTGGAAAGAAATGTCCAACGCTTATGGCATGTTACGTTCATTATATTGAGGGCACAAGCTGGATATTGGTCGTTGGGTATCTGGTGGGTTTTGGGGGAAAGCCAATAAGTCAATCAATCAATCAATTAATCAACAAATCAATCAATCAATCAATCAATCAATCAACCAATAAGTCACACAAATAAAAGAAATAAATAAAGGTGGCATTTCTGGTCTCAATCTCGAAAAGATATTGACAGTAATGTGGCAAACGTGGGCTTAGATCCCCATAGAACCATGTTTATTACACTCTTAAAAAAGATGGTTCTTAAAGGTTCTTTCGTAAAGAACATGATTCCATATAGAACCATGAACACTCACAAAAACCCTTTGCATGATGAAATGGTTCTTTACATCATGAAAGCATTCTTTATATTGACAGACAATGTGCTGTAGATGCAAAAAGGGTTCTTCTGTTGTGAGGAAGAAGAACCCTTTTGGGTGCTATATAGAACTCTTTTAAAAAAAAGGTTCTATGTAGAACCATCTACCACACATTCTCCATCTATCTGAAGCACCCTTTTGCGATGCAAGGAACCCTTTAATCACGCAAAGGGTTCTTTGTGTGTCCATGATTCTATATAGAACCATTTATTTACTAAAGAACCCTTGAAGAACCATCTTTTTTAAGAACGTAGGTAATGAAGGATAAAAGAAAACGGGTGATGAAGGGCCTGAGTGAAATCAGCAGGGGTTTTGGGGGGTTTGAGGGGGAAGGGGGTGTAACAGTAGGGGGTGACTTGGGTGAATTGGACAGGGGGCGCTATAACAGTAGGGGGTAATTAGTTATGCCAGACTGTGAATAAATAAACCGGGGCGCAAAATAAACAGGTGTGCTGTTTATTTGGCAGTGGAATTGACTAGAGAGAGAAGAGGGATACCTTTAATCAGGTCTGCATTAAGCTTAATGAGGACAGTAGGCTATTGTTTGCAAGAAATCTTGGAGAAAAGATGTGCAAATGCACCTTATGTTGGGTGTTTTGTGCCTTTCATAAACAAAAGAAAGGAATCATCATGTAAAATATTAGCTGATAACATGTTTTGTGATATTTATTGGGTCTTTTTGTTGTCCTGTTGTGTTGGTTCAGCTCCTGGACTGCTTTAACTGTTGCCCACGTCTCTCACTTTGGAGCTGGCATTTTTGTTTTAGACCAAAAGGATCCACAAAGAGAAGAATAGAGCCTAACAAACTTCACTGCCTATCAGAGATGTTTACAAGTATTCATTCGAGTCTGAGTCAAGTCTTGAGTTTCTGGGGTGCGAGAATTTTAGATGAGTTATTAGCTGCAGGCATTGCATTGTACTAAAGTAAACTCCTACTAAAAACCTGTCAGGTTCGACGTGGATTCAAATAACGAACGCTTCACAGAAGAACCTTCAGTTTGATGGATAGAACTGAAGCACTACATTCAAAGTAAATACAGTGTTTAGAGGATAGAGGCAAAACTAGGCTAGTCTGTTGTTTAAATAGCACATATTGCTGCTATTTAAACAACAGACTAGCCTAAACCTCGTATCTCCATTTTTGTCGTTTTTCAGTTTTTGACATCATTTGAAAATGCCTGTTGTCCTTTATATTGTGTGTAAATTTCATGATGACTGGACCAAAAGAAACGGCCCAAAATTACTTGGACAAGAAGTCTGGTTCCATTGACTTGCATTAAAAATACAGTATGTTTTTCCTTTTCCTGTAAATTTTCCATCTTTCCTTTAAACACTGCATTTGCTGCATATAGTGCTTCATTCTCTCCATCAGACTGAAGGATTTTCTATAATGAAAGGCTCGTTATTTGAAGATCTTTCCAATCTGATGTCACTGCAAGCTGCAGGACAATGTAGGTGCAGTAAAATTGTTAATCTAGATCATGAGTCGACTTGTGAGTCAAGACATAAGAAGTTCCACTGCAGTTCTACTCTGTACTGGAGGAGCTTTTAGACCTGATACATTTTTCCTCGAGTTGTTTCTAGCAGCTACTTTTACTTCTACTTGAGTCATTATTTCACTGAAGCAACATACTGTTCCAGGAGTTCTAGGCTGCTCCACTCATCTCTGGTTCAAACACACCTGATTCAACTCATCAGCTCATCCTCAAGCCCTTCACAAGCTTAAAATTGGGGTCTTAAAGCACTAAAATCTGCATTTCAGGGGCTCCAGGACCAGGACTGGAAACACTGCATTAACAGAAGAGTTCTCTTTCATGTCCTTTTTGTGCTTTGCCGTGTTGATTGCAATCAGCTGGGTGATAGAAGATCAATGCCTTCACCCAGGTGCGAATGACATCAGTCGTGTGTCAGACGGTTGGATATTAAAGCACTTCCACATCACAGGGAGAATGATTTACAGCGTTTAGGACGAGGACTTGTCAAATTGCACACTTGTGCCAACACGCCGGCCTTAGATATTCTGCTATGAGTGTGAATTGGTAGGCGTTTAGTCCGGAATGTTTCTCCTCCCTCATAAATGTTTGGAAAATTTTAATAGTGTATTGAATTTACTTGATTCAAAGATGTAAGTCGTATCCAATTCAGTCAAATTGCCATATTATGGAGCACAATTACTGCATTTCAGTTGTTGGTTGTGGTGGTTTCGGTTGATAATCTACTTCTTATTTGTATAATATATTTTCAAATAAAGTTAATTTTGGGTTATTATGTGTTATTGTCATGATAATGGTTTGAAAGTATTTAACAGGTATGTGCTATATTAACCTTCAACCACACGCATTAAGAGAACAATTAAAAAAACTATATCTGATTAACTTTTCTTGCAGAAAACATGATTATTGAAATATAATACATTTTTAAAATAATAATATGTGAGGGGTCCTTTTGGTGTGTGTTGACTTGAGGCAACATTGTGCGACAATGGGATGAAATGATATAGATCCGTGTTCCCTGAAGTGGTGAGACCTGGCTTGTGACTGGCTAAATCCATTCCACTGTTGCACAATGTTGCTTCTAGGCAACAAACATATTTCTGCAAATTTGCACAACTAAAAATGATACTGAATGTTAAAAAGAGGTTTAAAAGTGCCCACTAAAGGATTGTATGACCAAATACATACTTTCTTGCTGTCTTCCTCAAACTCTGCCCTTTATTGTTAACCCTATCAGTGTCCTTAAATATGTATAATGTTATTGTAAAGTGAGGAAAATGCTTGTTGCCCTGAGGCAACATTGTGCAGTACTGGATTAAACATGATGCTAGCATAAATGTAAACATTGCTTGTGCCCATTAAACTGGCACAAAAAACTAATAGAATCACCTGGAATGAATGATTCTGGCCATTTTGAAGCTGTTTGTGTTTATTTGTTAATCAGTCCATTAAGTAGTGCTTTTGATACCAGTGTTCATGCAGTGCTCTCATCAGTGTTTGTAGCAAAGCTGAAATATTAAAGTACCTTGAATTGTTTGAGCAAGCTGTACTATGTCCATTCATGGCATGTATTTTCTAAGGCAGTTAGCTTTGACAAAATATTTGAGCCACTCATGTTATTTAGGGTTGTAATTTCTTTCAAAGGTTTAATTACATTGACTTCATTACACTCAGTGATAAAATTAACACAGAGTCCCATCAACTGGTTGCTGTCTTCAATGCTTTATATATTATGCAATTAAAAATATATGTAACTATATATATGTGACTTTCCCCAAACCTGCAGGTTTTACAAACTTCTGACTTTTTTAAACTTAGAAAATATCATGGAAACAGATTATCTTCATCATTTTCAGCTTCATTTCACAGTGTTTTACTGTGTTATTGAGATTGAATGCTTCCAAATAAGAAGAACAGGTGATGCAGGTGATGTATATTACCTTTATAGACAGAATGTGAAAACATGGGGTGGCACAGTGACAAAGTGGGTAGCACTGTCGACTCACAGCAGAAGGGCCTGGCAACCAGTTCCCCGGCCTGGCAAGCAGCGTTGCAGCGTTTCAGTGTGGAGTTTGCATGTTCTCTGCATGTCTGAGTGGGTTTCCTCCCATAGTCCAAATACACACAACCAGGTGAATTGGAGATACACCCCTAGGTGTGAATGTGTGTATTTGTGTGTCTGCCCTGTGACTGGTGACCTGTCCAGGGTGTTTCCTGTCTTTCACCCAATGAGTGCTTGGCTTCAGGTCCCCCTAAGACCCAGTAAGATAAGTGGCGTAGTATGTGTGTGTGTTTGTGTGTGTGTGTGTGTGTGTGTGTGTGTGTGTGTGTGTGTGTGTTTAAATGGTTAAGATGTAAAGAAACACATTTAGTGGTTAATGGTTGGTGACATGCTCTGCTATAGAGAAATGTACTGAGTTAAAATTCTTCACAGTGATGGTGATAGGAACCAGACGTCCATCTCTAAAAGCTCCCTCACAGAAATTTATTAGAAATTAATCAAATGGTTATTAATACACTACCTGATCCCTGAGACATTGTTTTACGATAGTTTGGTGATAGTTTTGTTCTAAAACGTCTTGTTAATCCATTTATTTTAATCCATTCATGGCAGAGGGGTACATGCAGGGCATTGTGAGGCAAAATAGTCCCCAAAGGAAATGAATTTTTCAGATTTTCCATTATTTTACCATCATCATCAACATTGCATATAAAAACTCAGAAGACACGTGTAGGTTCTGGTGGCTTTGGATAGTACACGAAATGGCTGTATTTGTGTTGTAGACATGGTGACTCCTGGTTCCTATCACCACCACTGTAAAGAACTCTGAATCTATA